AAATGCTGCAGACCGAAATACATTGAGCAGTATTTAGAAAGGTGTGAAAGGCCAGTGAGGTCATTTGAGATCTGAGCACAGCCAGAACACAGCATCTGGAAAAGATGCAAATTATTCTTTTTTTCCTTTTTTTTTTTTTTCCTTTTACTGCTAACCCATCCCAATGAATATAATGGATTCATTTTGTTGCAGCTATTGCAATGCTGGCCTAAAGACTCAGGTGAGGTGATTTGCTGAGGCACACCCTACTGTCAATGTGTAGGTGAGAGACAATATTATTTTTCCCCACTCCAGCCATCCTCAGAAAGAGAGTCCAGCTGTTGGCTTGTTTCATAGCAAGGGATCAGTACATTTTGCTTTACATTTTCAGTGCCGGTCATGCAAGTAAAAAGGCAGCTTAAAGACTGTAAGTTAAAGCTGAAATTCTCCAAAGCCTCCACAGATCGTGGGGCTTATGGCTTTCACTGAGTCATAGCTTATGGACTTTAAGGGCCAGAAAAGCATTAGATCATAGGTCTAACCTGTACATTGCAGTTCATTAAGGTTCAGTCAGTTACTCCTGTGCTGAGCTCAGTCACTTCTGTTTGCCTAAAGTGTATCTTTTACAAAGGCACACAGCCTTGATCTGAAGACATCAAAAGAGGAAGAAACCACTGCTTCCCTCAGTATTTTGTTCCTGTGGTTAATCAAACTCCTTGTTATAAATGTATGCATTATTCTAATCTGAGCTTTTGTGGTTTCAGTTCACAGACATTGGTCTTTGACATGTTTTCTTCTTCTAAAACGGTCGTTTAGTTCCCAGTGTTTTCTTCCCTTGGAAGTACGCACACACAATAATCAAGTCACCTCCCAATCTTCTTTTTGATAAACCAAACAGATGGTGTTCTTTCATCTCTCATTATAAGCCTTTCCAGCCCTTCAATCATTTTTGTGGCTCTCTTCTGTACTTTCTCCAATTTCCCTTTTTTTTTTTTAAATGGAAAAAAGAATTATACAGAAAAATCCAGTGTCCATTTCACTAATGCTGTATAAAGAATACAATTATTCATCCTTGCTATTCCTGTTCACTATTCCCCTGCTTATACGCACAAGGATTTTCAATTATCCCTTTTTGCCACAGCATCACAACAAGAGCTTACATGGAGCCGTTTGTCCTTTATGACCTTGAAATGCTTCTCAGAGTTGCTGCTTTCCAATTTCTTGCCCCAAAAGCTTTCCTTACCATAACTTGCTGTAGCACCACATTGGACTTATCTAAAGAGTGATGACAGAACAGCTAGTTCACCAACATCCATTTTCCCAAATTTTATAAAATTTAATACTGATACGAAGTCACAGCTTCTGGAAGCATGTGATGATTCCAGAATTTTCACTGTCTTTCAAAAAAAACAAAGTATCTAGCCTCTATGTTTTAAGATGTGCCTTGTTGTGCCTAAACCATTAGCAAATCCAAGGCAAACTTAAAAAGATAAAAAAGCCGTAATTTAAGAAGGTTTATGCCTTTTAAACTAATACATAAATTTTGAGTACCAGGCTGAGATATCCGAAGAAAAATAACAGAGCATTATATAAAAAAATCTACACTACGTCTGATTTTATACAGTGAGCAATAATTTGCATCTCCCTGAGAAATAAAACTCACGCAAATAAGATTTCTAGAACTCAACAGCTGCAAGGCTGTCTCATGTTGTTTGGTCTTTCAGAGAAGCTTCTATGGAACTGATGAAGCACTGGAATTACAGGGGGAGGTTTCAAGAGAATAATGAAGGACAATGGGGAAGATTAAAAGCAAACAAAGACATAAATAAAGGGAGAGCATCAAAATTTACAAAGACTGTAAAACTGGAGGTCAAAAATAGGGTTTGCTCAGGGTTATTCATTACCAGTAACAGAATACCACAAAGTATGGGTATGTATGTTCGCATTTGTGATTTTATTTTTGTCATAACAGATTTCATTCAGCTACAACTGCTGAAATAGCAACTGAACTAAAAATGTATATACATATCTGAGAATTAGCTGGATAACACATCTTGAGCAAATAAAGTTACATGTGCCAAGCTGTAAATTTATGTTATGAATGTCTGTGTCTGCAGTGCAATATTGATTTTACTCCTGAGTAATAACACAGACTGGAGAGACCTATAACATAATGAAGTTATAAAAGAAAAGATTTTATTCAATTCAGTGACTTGATGATTTAGATACGTTTTAAAAGATTAAAAGACATAACATCAAGCTGAAATGACAAAAAATGCACTTTTAAAAGTCTGTTTTCCTTTTTATTAGAAAATAAAGCCACTTTCACTCAACTTTCCTCTGTACTAAGTTATTTGTAGAGCTCCATGTTTTATTTAATACTCAAATTATCTACTAAGATACGGACAGAGGTTACTTCATTTCTGTCATGTATTAAGTGGATTTCAGGGTTTCGCTGAAGAAAATTAGGAAACCTGCTTTGACTTCTGTGGGACAGGTAATTTCAGGTTGTACCTCAAGATTAAATGTATACACTGCAGAAGAGGGAACTACTGGCACAGGGAAGACAAATATAAAAAAAATATTTGGTCACTCTGTTCATGTTAAAAAGATTTAGCTATAGATTCTGGATATTTTAATACACCCGCTCCGTGCAATGTATGGGGAAGAGACACACAGAAGTAAGATTTGCATAAAATAATCCCTGTACAAACCAGAAGACAGCTTAACTCATTTATTTATCTGCTCCAAGTCTAGGAATCCAAATAAGATACTGTTGTTTTGAGGGTTTTATCACTTTCCTCTGCTACACAAAATTTTACACAGAACAAAACATATGTAAATGGATCACATTTCAGATTAGATTTTCCTTTACCTTTGCACTATTGAGAAACCAGAGCTTGATGCTAATAGCAAACAGTATCTATGTAGAATGAGGCAAAGAAATCTACAGAGAATGAGGCATCTGTCTCAGGCTAGTTATACCATCCACAGAATTTCAGACTAAAACGGTTGCAAGGAAACTGAAATTAACAATCGATTGGGTGCAAAGTCTTTTCAAACACAACCAGAACAGCATTACACTTCACAGTGACAAGTATTTGTAAAGGAAATAAAGAATTTGACCGTAAGTATCTAAAATGAGAGAAACATGATTGTTTCAGGAAACAAATGCTAACAGGCAAGATAAGCATCCAGAGACATCTGAAAGTAAGCAAGAAACAGGCATTACCTAGTTCTGAACAACAGAAAAAACAATTCTGGAACTGCAATACTAGTGTACTGTCTCACCGCTTCTAGTAAACCAGAATCATGATACTAAACAGAGAACAGGAGGAGCTGCGGGCTTATTTGCATTTGACATAGAAATTAATTCCAAATGGTTGCCCACGACTTTAAATTTGTAAAAAATCTGCAACTAACATATTTTTTAAAATATATATTGTAACAAAAACAAGAGGCTATTGCCATTGGCAAGACAGTGGGTATAAAAATATCTCACTACCAATTCTGGATACCAGCAGAATTGCATGGAAATTCATGGGTTTATGCCAGAGGTATCCCCTCTGCTTATCAGTAAGGTAGAAAAAGAAGAAAAAAATCTATGTTTTTTAAAAACGTCAACATTTTAAAAAAAAGGTCTCGGACAGAGGAAGGAGCGAACTATGAAGCAGTTAAGCAACAACTAGAGTGAGAAGAGTCTAAGAAAAAAAGAGTTTGTTTTTCAAGACACCAAATGGTACACAAAACAACCTGTCTGGGGAGGAAGAGGAGAGAAAGAGGCTAAGATAATCTTCCATTTACACCACCCAGAGCAGTACATATGCTTCCAGGCACATTAAACTTCCCTGCACGCAGAAGGTAGATGGTTCTGCGCTGATGGAATCACAATGGTCAAAACTGTGTTGAGATCACCAAGCACAGAATATGCACAGGCACCCGAACTGTGAAAAAAATGCCTGGTCCTAAACAGAATTGTACTGTGAACCCAAAGTTCCTCATGTTTTGAGAGCTGTGCCTTAAGAAAGCCACTAAAATCTCACAGGATGAGAGCTCTGACTGATTAAGCAATTATGAAATACATGTGAAAGCACATTGCACAGGATGGAGCCAGGTTATTTCTGATATTTGAAAGTTCAAAGAATCGCCCCTGAGGAAACAAAAGCTACTGAAGAAGATAGTGCAAAGATGAGCATATCTTTGTTAGTTGTACAGTAGTTACAACACTGAAGTAACAACTTAATACACAAAGGCTTATGTTAATATTTGTGTGTGGTGGCTGAGCACAGCCGGGGTGGACAGTCTGATCCAGGCGTTCACATAGTCAATAAGAGTTCTGCTGTCTTCCCTGACACTCCATCCAGCTTAGCATCATGCTGCATGGGTACACGTGGGTGAATCATCTGCAGCACCTGAACAGGATGTGTGGAGAGGCTTGGTGAATCAGAGATCCAGTACCAAGGCAAGAGGATATTATTTTCCTGGAGAGATCACTTTTTTTTGTGAGAGTTTCTGTAATCTAGGTCATTTACAAAACCCATTTTTCGCTTGCTACAGTGGAGGGTATTAGGTCTGGCTTTTTGTCGAAACTTCTAATTTAACACTAGTTTTTAAAACGTTTCAAGTGTCCTCCTATTTCCCAGTTGCCCAATGTATTATTCTTTTTTTTTCCACTAAGACCACATAGCTGCAGCTGTGCACAGCTAGACCATTGCAACATTCCTGCAACCTCAGCAGTGGTGACAAAATAAAAGGGATGAAATAGCCACAGGACAAAATCTAAAAGCCTGTTTAAAACTGCATGGACTCCATGGCATGAAAAGCATTATTTTATCTAGCATACCTTATTCCCTTTACCACAACAAACCAAAATCCTGGGTCACAGTTTCAAGTTCATGCTGCTTCTCCATTCACATACATAGCTTCATATAGCTTAGATACGAACTTGTCACATTTCAGTCTAGGATGGTTACTTTTTTTTAGTTTTTCAGTAGTAGTTTGATCACAGATCACACAAGTACCTTGTAAGAGGTGAGGATGAAGAGGCTGGTGAGCAGTAAGAACAGCTGTCATCTCATCATGATCAGAAGGATGTATGTACTCATAAATGCTATTACCAGTAAGCTCCACCTGTAAAGAGACATGTAACACATGAAGCAGTGCAGCTGGCCATTTTTTTTTCCTGTTCCAAAAGTGCTCTTAAGTAACCTGCATACACTGCATCTGGGTAACTACACAACATTTTTAAAACATAAGTTGAATGTATCAAAACTATGTTCCAAATTATACCCATTAAACTGAATTAATTCCTTCTTCAGCAGTAATTAATATTATAGGGTCTTTTGTAGGAATTTCTGGTGATGATCCAGATACAGCAGAGCTGCTATTAGAGAGAGCTGGCAAATGAAGTGATAAACTAGAGCAGCTGTGGAAATGTTAGATTGCCACAAAATGGGGTAAAATCTCTGTGAACTGTATAAATGTCTCTCAAGAAGACAGATCATAAAAAAAACCCAAAAGTTTCTGCAGGCTCCCAGAAACTATCACCTGCATTCAGTTGGCAGCTGAGCCTTCTGAGCCAAACCACTAAACTTACACAATTCCTTCGTGTCTTTTCAGATGATCCACCACACTCAATCCACAGTAGTGCTAAGGGCTCAGAACAGTAGCCAGTGAATTTGAAAAGCAGACTTCCACAGATTTTCATACGCACTGGATTGAGCCTTTTCTGCTTGAAATAAATATATACAGTAAAGACTAGATCTACCTTAAGTGTCTGTGTATTCCCTCTTCTCACTTGAACTTTGCTCGCACAAGAATGTATTTCTGTCTTTCCCGCTGTTGTACTCATAATAAGTGTTGCACAAAAAAAAGTGACGTGCACCGTATGTCCTTTTTGCTAACTCTATTTGCCACGTATAAAACTCACCAACAAAAGTCTCCAGATAGATGGAGTAATTGATTTAAGGAGTGAACCAATACTTTGAGCCTGTGTTTCAAATTAGTGTCAGGCTGCCCAATTGTTCAGTGTGGCCTGATGTGCCTTGGGCCCCCAAGATCAGAGACAGCTGAGAGGTGAAGTAATTTAACCTATTATTCTGAGCCAATCCTACTGATTTGCTAAGATGTGTGAGTTGCCTTTTCTTTGGAATAAATGAAGTTGTCTACCCCACAAAGCAATCTTTTTCTGAAAATGTTTCTCATCGTTCCATTTTCTGCATTATTCATGGAATGTCTATTCCAAAGACTAAGCAAACTGATTTTTTTTCTAGCCATCTACTCCCCCCTGCTTCTTTCCAACCACCTCTCCCTGCAAAAATGTGAACACAAATTTGATATTCTAGCCAGAATAAAATTTCATTAAATAAGGAAAAAAAGAGAGAGAAAAAAAGAGGAAAAGAAAGGCGGAGAGAAAGAGGTGAAGAAAAAGAGAGGAAGAAAAGAAAGGAATAGAGAGAGCACAAGAGGGAGAGAAGGAGAAGGGGAAAATAAAAAGAAAGGAAAAAGAAAGGGAAGGGAAGGGAAGGGAAGGGAAGGGAAGGGAAGGGAAGGGAGAAGGAAAGTGATTAACTACATTGCTTCACTTCTATAATTTTCTCTAAAAGTTCTCCTTAAAAAGCACTGTATGTTCATTTTCAGGTTTGTAACAGGTGGAGACCTGTTATAGTAACACCCCATATTCAAACTCTCGTGGCAGAGGAGGAAGGAGAATATATAATCTCACTATGACTCACACTCCTCAATGCGTGAGGACGTGTTTGTTTTTAATTACACGGGGAAAAAACATATCGTAAATGTCCATAGCTATCTCCATAAATATCATTATCACCTACAAACACATAAACCAGATTTTTTAAAAAATCTGATAATTCTTATGGTGATGGGCATTTTGTTGGCCTACATGCTTAGTAAACCAGAACATGGAAAACATTATCATTGCAAAAATGCACAGCTGTGGTCAATGATCAAACCAAAAGGAGTATCACTTATGACCCTGTTATCATTTTATCTTCGTCTAATAGTGATTCTGCTGAAGAGTGTGTTTTGCCTTTGGAATTAAAACAGTTGTACCAGAGGATACAGCTTCCAAATAAAAAAAATCATTCATGGGTGGCTATGTGCAGACAATCCCTTCAATATAAAGACTTTCTTACAAAAACACCACCGACGAACCCAACTAACAACATCAACTGTAGTAGTCAAAAAGATCTCGTTGCATCTCTGCTATTACCAAATAAAATCATAACCACATCAACATGCATCTATTCTCCTCCAAGGTATAACTCATGGGTATCTCTTGCTTTTCCAGAAGTCACTGCCTACTTCAAAAAGACTACTCACATAAACACACATTTGGTCACAGGATTCACAGGACTGGACCCAAGGTCATAGTTTTTTCCAAACTGTAATTTGTATCCCAGGGCTTATATCTAAAATGCAAAACTAAAGTGTTTTGTCAAACTAATGACTGGTTTTTCTTGTTATACATATAGGAATATTTTCTACTCTGATGTATGCATTTGCAACCGCAGCAATATCAGCGGGAGGTGAACATACAACACTGAAACCAAAATTGACTGTAAAAATGCAAGTGGAAACATAAAGCCATCAGCAAGGAGATGGGGGCTATGTAAGAGTCAAATAACTAAAAAATGTATACATAATTTTGAAACTGACCACAGTCTCCTGGTATGTGTACTACATTCATGCTATTCTAAAGCCTACAATGAAACACTGAAAACTTAAAAAAATAAATTATATGGTTCGATTCATAAACCTTCTGAGATCCCATGCCTCAGGCTTATTAAACCAGCTTCCTCGATGCAGCTTTTTAATATCTGTAAATACCTGCTTACTACCAAATATTGCTGTTTCCTGCTAAGAGGTTTTTTATGTGTAACTCAGCTGCACATTTTTTTCCTGCCAAGAAACGATTAATAATAAACACAGAGGACTAAGTAGATGGATTCTAGAGCAAATAATTACATATTTTGCCTTTCATATACTTATGTGATGAAAGTAAAATAAACTCTTGGAAAAATTTGGATGTTTGTGGTTAAAGATTTCAAGACTTATCAAAAGTCAAAGATAAGCTTGGCTTCCTCATAGACCCAGAAAATGGCTGGAATAGGCTCCAGACTTTAAAAAAAAAAAATCTTTCACTATTCTTTCCTAAGAGGATTTTCATCTCCATTCTGTGTCTTTGGCCTCTAAGGGGAAAAAATGTTGAGGGAATTTGAACCTATTTGCTATCCATGGAAAAAAAAAGAGGCAAGGAATTGGTGCTCTCAGCTAGCACGAGTCAGTTCAACACTGGTCTGAGGCCAGCTGAAATTACATGGAGCAGGGAGTCCTACCCATCAGTATTTACACTATACTGTTACAGTTGAGAGCAAAGGCAGATCAAAATCCAAAGCCACAAATTAAGCGATAGGTCCACAAATGAAGATGTAGCCATTTCAGAAATCCTGTTTCTGATTCTCTGATGCTGCATACAGAAGTGAGTGAAGTAATTCTGAAAAACAATCCTTGATGTTGCTTATAAATTTTAAACTAAGTACACCAGCTAGTGAAGGGTTATTCAGAAGCCCTAATTTCTTTCTACTAAACTTAAATTCAACATCAGCTGGAAGATAAAGGGTACTGTAGTAGGTCTCCAAGAATATCCTGCAAAATATTTTTAAATGGACTTTTTATTTAGTTTAAATATAAATTTTTAAACAAATTGAGCTTTAACTGGAAATTGATGTGTGGACTAGTTAATTGTCAAATTATTTAATAAAAAGGCCTTTCTATGCACCCTCTAAAAGATTTTCTACAGTCATCATCACTCTGGTCTCAGCTTGTATTGGCTGGAGCTCTGTAAGAGCACTTGTTGAAAATATAGTGTGGGATTATGACTTGGTGAGGGAGACTTGCAGAATTTGGTTCTACAGACCAGTCTCATTCTTGTTGATGTCAGTGGCAAAACTCCCAGTGATTTCCAGCGAAGTAAGAACAAGAACTCATTTAGAGCCCTGGGAAGCTTACAGGAATATCGCAGTGTTAATGTATTAAGATCAGAGTATGTAGGAGTAGCCTAGTATCTATGCTAGTACTACTTAAAAAAATTTGTCCCTTCAAAAACAGAACACTGAGAAATAGCAAGAACAGATTAGATGATAAAACAGTATGAGGAAAGAGGATAAAAAATCACTGCCTTGTTTAGCTGTGTTTTTGTATTGATAAAAAACTGTGCACTGTGAAAATGGAGCACTTAGTGTTTTGAGAGTCTAAAACATACCATTAAATTTCACATCCCTCTGTCCTCTCCAGTCTATATCTTTCTGGGGAGTTGAAGGATACAGCTCATTTATTTACAAATCTCTGCTAAAGTGAAATACTTGTGGTTTTGCATATTAAACTGACTTCAATAAGCAATATGAACAAATCCTCTTGTTTTCCTCAGCACCTCTTGCTCTAAGTGTTTATAGATATTTACATGTGCAATGCACATGGAATTCAGTCTGTGCAGAGAGCCATAAGGGCATGAGGACTAAATATGACTAAAGCCTGTATGACGCTGTCAGTCCTCTCTCCTTGAATGTGGCCAAGTGTATTTAGTGCCCTTCTGAACCCATCGTTCTTTAATTTCACCAGATGACTGGATAATACTGAGACTGACAAGATCCGATGACTTGATATTCCTCAAAAAGACAGAAAAGAAAGAAACAATTTCTGGACAAAAACCTGGAAGATCAGTTAGCACTTCTCAAACTGCAAGCAGCACAGGACAATGAGACTCTACTTTAGCAAGGACAGATGGGAACACTCAGTGCTTTGGAATAATTGTACTGACTAAATGAATTGGTTTAAGCAGTCAGCAGCCTGGTGGATCTTTTCAAAAGTTAGGGTGAGAAAAACTTTTAATAATGCAGTTGATTCAGAGTAGAAAATATGGCTATTCTCTAGGAAAGTTTATTCTAAAACAAAGCAATATTTAAAGTAATTTGAACATGCATTAAATGTTATGAAACAACTAATACTATACTGTAACAGACTCAGTTGAGGAAACTGCTTGAACTAAAAATGTTCCCTGGACAAATTTTTTGAAGTTGGCAGAAAAAATGTATCCACACAGAATACTGATTCTCAAAATTACTTTTTTAAAAAGAGATTACACCAACAGGGATTGTAGTTGCCTTTGGATTTTGAAGTGGTGTTTATGAGATGATATACTTGCTTTTTCTAGCTATTTAGATTTCCGCTTTTTCTCACAGCTACTAATTCTAATATCACCATTATAAACATGCATCCAAAGAGCTTCACAGTTTTTCAGTCAAAAAATATTAGTTACTACCAAAGCTAAAGTACACGTATAATCTCCACAGCTCACGTCCTTCTCTGTTTATTGGAATAGCCACAAGAGATACTTCGCAGGCATTTTCAGAACATCCTGTGTTCTCCCACCTTCATCTCCTCATTTTTCTTCCCTCTGCTATCTTTATTTCACTTTCTTTAACTCTGAGAAGTGTTTGAGCTGCAACTGGTTCTGAAGAAAGAGTTCTGTTTCTTGCAAGTCTCGTCCAGGGCCCAGTGAAATTGATTAGGAGTTTTTCTACTGGACTTTCGCAAGATTTGTGTCAGGTGCTACCAATGAGTTTGTGTAATACATTTACACACAAAGGTATGGAAGCTTGCACTCTGCAATAAATTCAGGCTATTTGCCCTTGTGCCTATCCCAAGAAGGCAAAAGATTAGAAATGTCCTTCTAAGAAAAAAAAACAATAAAAAATCCCTTATGCTTCTTGTGCAGAACAGTAGTAAACTGAGTTTTATGAGTTCTATCACAACCATATAAAACGCTTTACTGAAAAGACCACTGAGCTGGAAAAACTCAGGAAAAACTACCCTGAATTCCATGTGAACACTCATAAATCTGCCCCCCTTTTCTTTTTTTCCTAAAGCACATTTACCATAAAACTCATGTTCCACATCAGATTTCCTCTCTATTTCATAGCAAGTCTCAATATCTTACACAATCTAAAACATATAGACTTGAATTCTAAACTTTATTTCAGATGTATAATATTACCACACAGGCAATAGGTTTGGATTTCAAGCTCTGTATATATCTGCAGTTTGCAATATCATATTATTTATTACCCTTCTTACAGGTAATGAGGAGTAAAATACAATGAACAAGAGAAGATACAAAGACAGTCACAATGTGGCTGAAAGTAAAGGAAACTTGAATAGGTAATTGAAAAGGTAATTTGTCAGAGAACATAGTCAAAGCTTCAAATAGCCCTGAAGAACAATGACATTGTATACACGGCAAGATACCGGTGTTAGATTCCAAATCTAGCATCTGTATTTAGCAGTTAGACAGAATAAATCACTCGTACCTGAGATAAACCAAGATGTACAGATGCTGTTTCTGAGATGTACATTATTTTGCCATCTGATGCTACCACGAAAACAAAGCCATCCAAAGTCTGAAAAAGAGAAATACGTCGGGTAAAAAGCAAGCTCTCTGTTTAAACCATTTACAGTGCCAAATTTTTTTAAGCCTTTTGGAGGAAGATTGCTGTCCAACTTCAACAGCAGCAAATGGCAGCAATATTTAAGGAAGAGAAACCTTGATCCGATGCTGTTCCTACGAACGCTCGGACACACGCACACATTGTGAAATCCAATTCATTCCCCCTGCAGATGCTAGCTTTACTGCTTCACTTTAAGTTAACATTCTCCTGTTGATTCCGGTTATTTTAGTACTTAGTACAAATCCTGAGCTATGTGGTACTTAGGGGAAAGTCTAGTACTACGCGAGCCGTTTTTTATGGCATAATTGGCAGACACAGCTTACTGCTATTTGCAATATATTTAATGATACCGTAAGCAACGCTTTAAATTTCTTTGACTATATTTTTAATAATGTCTCTCTGAACAGGGGACTGTCTGCTATATAACTATGCGAACTTAGGAGAAGAAGGTAAAATAAATCAACATTCAAAACTTTATCACTCAGAGATATTTGTGTTCCTTAAGCTGTCGCCCTACAGTTTGTGAATTTTGACTAACAGTAATATGTAATGCAGACTTGAGGTCCAATCCTACAAATTCTTATTAATAGGATATTGACTGGAAGGTGGATATTCTTCGTGTGAGCAAAAACCAAAGTTTAATTTAGTCATATACCATTTGTATGAGATAAAATAATATGATGCAAATAGTACAAGTTAGCCAAAACTGACCGCGATTTGGACATACAAACTATCATTTTGGGGGTGCCTTGATTCTTCGGTGCCCAGTTTAAGGCATTTTTTCAAAAGTATCTGATATTCTCGATCAAAAAGTATCCATTATCTCTAACCAGTTTAGGAAGTCTTGATCAACACATACGTATGAACATCACTGGAAAATATATGTGGAATAGAAAAAAAATTTTGACGGTACACAAATAAAACAAACACCTGTTTTAATTCATCTTTTAAGTTGCTGAACCAGGAGAGAAGCAATAAAACGCTGTATGCTTCATGTTCTTATAGTGCTGCCCCAATAAGAAAATATTCCTTATTATTCTCTGGCCTACTAAGGGTTCTGCAGCATGTAATTGAAACCAGATTACGCTTTGCCGTTACTTTTTTTTTTCTTTTTGGGAACATAAATTAAATTTTGTAGAAGTATAAAAATGGGAAATAAACGATTGCATCCTTAACCATAACTTTGCGTTTAAACACTGTCATCTTGCGATTGCTCTGCCCAGTATCGTAACTAAAACTGTGGCAATGCTTCCATTGCTACATTACGTGGTGCAGGGGGTCTCCGACTTTCCTGCACGGAAAAGCGAGTTCAAGCTGAAACTTTACAAGTCAGGTTTCAGTCTGAGCACTCTTCAAAAAAAAAGTTTAAGGTAGATGTGGGTTTATTAAAATGTGAAGCATTCATAATTCAGAAAGAACTGAGCTGTAAAATGAGTATTACAGGTACTTTGCGTATAACGTTACCTAAGTTCGTTTAACGCCAGGCAAAACGTGAAACGGCTAACGGGGAGGAGGAGCAAGCGGTTTGTGCGGTAGAACTAGATCTGCGTTTTCTACGCGGGTAGTGGTTCTGAAACAGCCGACAGGGCTTCAAGCGGGATTTTCAAGGCTGGAAATACCACAGCAAACGCCAGGCAAAACGTGAAACGGCTAACGGGGAGGAGGAGCAAGCGGTTTGTGCGGTAGAACTAGATCTGCGTTTTCTACGCGGGTAGTGGTTCTGAAACAGCCGACAGGGCTTCAAGCGGGATTTTCAAGGCTGGAAATACCTCGGCAATTTCGAGCTTTACCGATTTCGCTTCGAGCAGCCCCGGCGAAGTCGCGGTCTCCTCCCGCGGCGGGGGAACGGGCGG